AAAGATAGTGACGTATTGTATGCAGTTATGGCTGCAGCGATTACCAATACTCTTGCGTGCAAATACAACTTTCGAGGCGATGGCAATAAAAAAAAACCTTTCAGCAAACTATTATTGTGGGAAGTGATTATAGGTAAATACATGATATTCTCAAAAACTTTATTTTGAAACAATTATGACTTAAGGCTCGTGAAATTACCAACAAGATATGTATAAGGCCTTACGGGCCTTACATTCTCAAGATGTTTTGAGTAGAAACTTGTACGTGTATATATATACATACACATGTAACGAATTCAACTTGTAAATTTTTACAAGTGAGTGTTTTTTGAGTTGAAAACTCAATTCTTAAAATCATACGGGATGCCAGATTTGCATCTCACATATGACAGACAAAATTTACAAGTTGAATTCGTTACATTTATTTTGAAATATACGTATTTTTTTACAAACAATAAGAATTTTTCTTGCTTATATAATTTTGCTTTATAATTTGCAACATTCTTTTATTTTTAGGTGCAATTCACGAGAAAAGACCCAACATAATTATTGCGGATTTATCAAAGTACGCTGGACTATGGTTAAAAAATGCTCCATACAGGAAACAAGAAGACGGAAGTTATGGAAAACGCGACAAAAAAGAATTTAAAACAGTGGACCTATCTTCATAATTATTGTTTATAAAACTTGAGTTTTTAATATAAATCTAAAATACTTTATAATACCATATAAAAAATATATATATATATATGTTAAAAAATATATATAATATATACTATATGTACTATAAATAATATAAGTTAATATATATAATTTTCTTATAAGCGCTAGTCTGGACTCTGTAGGCGTGTGTAATTTTCAGTTAAGAAATTCAGCTGATCGTAAGAAGCTATGTTACATGTCGCTTGCTTGTATGCTTTTTTACTGTTAGAAGATTGCATGAAGTAACCCATATTTCTTTACAACTTCTTAAAATCATACACGTCTACAAAGTTCGGGCCATCGTTTCCCACGCGCTCATTCACATGTATTAATTCACATGTATTAATCATCATATGTATTAATTAATCATTCTCAATAATTATTATGAATATTTGTAAAATGGTATAAGATTTTTCTATTTAGATTGACTGAATCTGTCTTCACATAATATCGATATCAAATCGACTTGTCAATAATTGGTCGAAATTCGTGTCCATTTTTAAGTCAAATCGACTACAAATTTCAACCGTTGATCGACTAGTATAATCGACGTCGAATCGACGTCGATTTGACAAGATATTTCTGACTGGGCTCTATCTCCTATATTAGCGGATATCGCCATGCAAGATTTGGAGTTAAATGCTTTAAACAATCTAAATTTTGAAATACCATTTTATTTTAGGTACGTTGATGACATAGCATTAGCCGTTCCTAGGAACAAAGTTAAAGATTTGATTAACACTTTCAACGCACAACATGAACGATTGAAATTCACACATGAATTGCAAGTAAACAACTGCTTTGGTTTCTTGGATTTACGTATCATCTTAGAGAACGATGTGATCATTTGTGATTGGTACCACAAACCGTCGTTTTCTGGAAGATATCTGAATTTTATATCACAAAACCCTATTTGTCATAAGATAAGCACAATCTATTCCTTGGTTGACAGAGCAGTTCTACTATCAGATCCAATTTTCCACCAAAAAAACCTACAGTTATGCGTAGACATTCTTATACAAAATAATTATCCTTTAAATTTCATTTTTAATAACATTAACAAAAGACTGAAAACATTATTTTCTATGAAAGTAAATACACATTCTAGAATTCATGAAAATGACATTAATAAAACAGTTGTTCCTATCAAATATTTTGTTCTACCATACATTCCTAAAATTTCTGATTATTTAAAAGAGATTTTCAATATAAACAACAAAAAAGTTCAATACCATTTTGCCTATAGGAACTTACACCAATTAAATAGATTTATTAAAACACATAAAGATAACATTCCAATTAATGAAAGAAAAAATGTAGTCTACTGCATTTTTTGCAATTCATGTGATGCAAACTATGTTGGACAAACTAAAAGGAAATTACAGACAAGAATAAAAGAACACAAACAATATATAACTTCTAAACGACAATCATCAGTCATTTCAGAGCATTGTCTTAATTTTAATCATATCTTCGACTTTGGTGCAACAAAAATCTTAGACAATGAGTCGAATTATTACAAACGCATAATTTCTGAAATGTTGCACATTAAAATACACCCTAATAGTCTAAATATAATGAACGACACTGAACTCTTGGATGATGTATATTTATCTATCCTTGACAAATTTGACTAACATTCA